GTTCGTATTGTGGTAATGTAAAAATGGTGGCAGTTAGGGATGGGGAGTGCGTTGGAGACGTTGTGTGGACAAGCATATGGAGCAGGACAGCTTAGGATGCTTGGAATATACATGCAACGTTCGTGGGTCATTCTCTTCACCACTGCTTTATGTATGCTTCCGATCTACATTTGGGCTCCTCCTATTCTTTCCTTCTTCGGCGAGGCTCCTCACATCTCGAAAGCCGCAGGTATCACTATTTTTATTACGTTTTGCCAATGAAGATACGTTCACGACATCTACATGCTAACTATTTCAAGTTGAAATTTACAGGGAAATTTGCATTGTGGATGATACCACAACTATTTGCATATTCAGCCAACTTTCCAATACAGAAATTTTTACAGTCGCAAGGAAAAGTGCTTGTGATGGCTTGGATCTCCGGACTGGTTCTAATTATACACGCAGTCTTTAGCTGGCTCTTCATTCTTTACTTTAAATGGGGACTTGTAGGTGCAGCCATCACTCTCAACACGTCGTGGTGGCTTATTGTTATCGGTCAGCTTTTGTATATCTTAATCACCAAATCAGACGGTGCATGGAGTGGATTTTCTTGGCTTGCGTTTCGTGACCTCTATGGATTTGTCAAACTATCTTTAGCCTCTGCTGTTATGCTCTGGTACCAAATTTTCTTTCATTTCCATTTTTTTGGCTAGTAGATATATAAATTATGATGTTGTTAAGTTAAGAAATGAATAACCGGTTTGTTCTTTGGATTCTGCAGTTTGGAGTTTTGGTACTTGATGGTTCTGGTCGTTGTCACTGGTCTCCTTCCTAATCCATTGATACCAGTCGATGCAATATCCATTTGGTAACTGACTTTTTCTGGTCCCTATTTATTTTTCCACTGAAAACATGTTTTTTGTTGTTAAAATGTTTTGTGCTTTCACAGCATGAACATAGAAGGTTGGACCGCAATGATTTCAATTGGATTTAACGCTGCGATAAGGTAAGATTTCTACCTTTTTGTTACGTCTCTAAGAGAATATATGTATAGAGCAAGATAAGAAGCTAACGAAACTCTCTTGGTGTGATCAGCGTGAGGGTGTCGAATGAGCTAGGTGCAGGAAATGCACATCTAGCGAAATTCTCGGTGTTAGTTGTCTCCATAACTTCGACACTCATTGGAGTTGTGTGCATGAGTGTTGTCTTAGCCACAAGAGACAGTTTCCCTCATCTTTTCACTTCTAGCGAAGCTGTGGCAGCGGAAACCACGAGAATAGCTGTCTTGTTGGGCTTCACTGTCCTCTTGAACAGCCTCCAGCCTGTCTTGTCAGGTACCTCATGAGATAGTTGGTGGTAGAAAATAAAAATAATCAAGTAAGGATCTGAAAACACTGAGTTCTTGGTCACTTTTGGTTTATCTTTTTAGGGGTTGCGGTTGGAGCGGGGTGGCAGTCTCTAGTGGCTTACGTTAACATTGCGTGCTATTACATTATTGGACTTCCTGCTGGTCTTGTTCTTGGATTCACACTAAACCTCGGAGTTCAGGTTAGTTTTCTACCAATGCATACGTGAACATGGCACTAAGTTTGATTTCGTTTCAGTTTTAGTTCGGTTTGTTCAGCATAAATTGTTCGGTTCGGTTCGGTTTTTGTATCTACCCTGGTTAAAGTGGTCTGTATTTGCATTGTTTTTTTTTTCAATTTTGGTGACTGATTCATTTGTGAATTTGTTAGGGAATATGGGGAGGTATGGTAGCTGGAATCTGCTTACAGACTCTTATATTGATTGGAATCATCTACTACACTAACTGGAACAAAGAGGTATCTTACTTTTTTTCTCCATAACCTCTCTATGGTATGTTCCTCCTTTGTGTTTGGTTTGATCATTTCATTAAACTTTGAATTCTGCAGGCTGAGCAAGCTGAGAGTCGGGTTCAGAGATGGGGAGGATCGGCGCGGGAGTGATCAACTCTCGTCGGACGAGGATTATCATCAGTTATTGATTCTTTGTTAATGTTTCATTATTTAGCAGATTATTATTTCAAGAACAATTCATCTCGCTCTTTGTTTGTTCGATATGCCTAAAGTAGAACGAGTGTTTCTCTCTGATTGGTACTTGGTAGAGAGGATTTGTAATAATTAGTCTTATCATTGATCTAAGATGGTTGCTAAGTCAAACTTCTTGCTTACTTGACCTGAGGCATGAACTGAGGTCTGATATTTGATCTTCATACATATTTTATTTATCTGAAAAATATAATCAACCATTTTGAATGGAAACAAATGAAGATACGAACACAAAAACCAGGATTAGAGATTTTTATAACATTATATATCAATGCTATTGGAGAGTTGCTTTTAAATATAGTAAGTTAAAGTAGAATTAATAAAATATTTGATACGAGTGATATATTTCGGAGTGAAGCGAATTTTTTCTCAGTTGAGTCTCACAAACTTGACATATCAACATTTCTTTGAATGACACATCAATTTATTTATTTGTTATTTAAAAACTTTAGTGAAACTTTAATTAATTTAAGCTAATTACTTTTATGTTCATTTTTCTGTGTACTGATTTATTTACCATCATGGGCCTCATGGCTTTTTGACTCCCTTTTTTGATGTTTCATATTCTTAATGATGTTTCAAACGTTGTCTTAAATATTGGTCACTCATGTTTCAACGCATAAAAAATAATCAGCAAATATAGAGGAGAAGACATGGAAAGAAATAAATATTACCTAAGATTTTCTAATAAATCTCTAATCTACAGCTTCCACGTTGTAACTTATGCAAATTTCTATATAGAAGCTTATTAAAGTGAATGTTGTTCACAAATCCACGGTCTAAGATTTATTTCTTGGCCATGGGCAGAAACATCTACATTTAATACCATCGTTTGTGTTCATTTAACAGAAAAGAAGAATTTTGCTTTTAAAAAGAAGATTTTGTATGATGGTTTCGAGAATTCTGTGAAGAGTAAATAGCAAGACAAAGCTATAATAATAATTTCTAAAATAATAATAATTCGGCGACGAAACTATAATAATAATTTCTAAAAACTTTGTTTTAAGTTAAGCTGGTGTAAGTTATCTATTCTATTTATTCTTGTTTTAGAGAAAATTTTAAGGGAGAAAAATAATACTCTGAAAGACCTATTACATCCATTAGTAAATTTTTTAATATCTATGTGTTTACAAGAAATGATAAAAATCTCGTCTCAATGAATTATAATTAAAGAAATCTTTGTGGAGAAAAGATAAATATAATTTATATCATTTTATGTGCATGAAATGTAGCTTGTTTTATCTCCATCAGATCTTGGAGTTGGAATATTGGTTCTCCCAAGTACTGCAATAAAAAGCCACTGGAGTGGCAGGAGCCAAATCCGATGGTGAAAATGGAGAAAGACGTATTTGGTAAGCTTTTACGATAGCTGGTCATGTTTATCTAAAGTTCCAAACTCTACCTGTGATGCAAAAGATAATATATAGTATGAAATATCACAGATTTTCATGATGTATTCATTTCCTAACTTTTCTAATTTTAGTGGAGATTGTGACGGTTTTGCCAATGAGAATATGAAAATTTTATGGAATAAAGTTATCCATTTATTTTGAGAATATATCTCTTAGGTTCCTAATCATAATATTTAGTATTTGCTGGATTCTCATATCTTTGTTTATGATGTTCAAGATAATTTTTCACTTTTAATTGAAGACAACGTTTCTTAGTAGAGAAAATTTCTGATAAGATTTCATAAAACCAAAGAAAAAGTCGAGAAAAAAAACTAATTAAAACAAAATCACTTTAACAAAACAAATTAACAACCAATCTCTCTAAACATATGGCCAGTCCAAAAAACCAAAAATCTAATTTTTTTTAACATCACCAAAAATCTAAATTGAATTTCAGTTTTTTTTTGGTTTTTGATCGTCAGTCTAGATACCTAGAACGGTTTGGTTACCCAAACCGAAGATATCGAGTTTATGTAAATAATAATTTGTAATTGGTTACACAAGCGCTTCTTGCTAGAATGTTTGCCTTCAAATTCTTCACGCGTGAAATGTGTGATATAATGAAAGAATTGTAAACTGAAATTTAAGGATAAAACTAAACTTCAGTTTTAAACATTATAAAAATATTAAAAAGAAAACCCACGCATATGCGTGGGTACTCATGTAGTGAATACCAAAGGTAAATTAGCAACCGATAGTTTGATATTAGATATCTTTAATTTTGTTTGTCCATTGTTGCCTATACTCTCCCAATATCAAATTATCCAACAAAGTATTTTATGTTGGGATTTTATCCTCTAAATGGTGCTAACCTTGCTTTGGTCGTTTCAGCAATTTCTTGTAGTTAATAATACTTGAAGTTCGATTTGGTTTGTGGCCGATGGATTAAAGATTCCGATGGGAAAATCATAACTTTTTTCTGACGATTTCTTAGAATACTAATATCTTTTTTTTGTAAAAATTAAATGAAAATTAAAAAGAAATTCCGTCTAACAATGAAAATCACAAAATTCCAAAAAAATGTTTAAATAAATACTTAATTGCTTTTACCTCAGTATGAGGATGTTACTCAAAATTTTCCTCCAAGTTCAGCGAGTTATATCCCTAAGGAAAAGCTCGTAGGCCATTTCATGCACCTGATGTCTCTAGTTGCTCTGTTGATGCAGCCTGGATTAGCTCTAGTATTAGCAGAATGGGATGACTGTTCAAAGACACAAACATGTCCGTCTTTGAACAGATTTCAACTTTTAATTTTTTTTTTTTAAATAAATGTTAAATTTTATTCAAACCCAAAAAAATAGCGTTTCTACATCAGGGAGATGCGATCTGGAAAATTAATAACGATTAAAACAGAGTGTGCAAATGTTAAGAGCTACAGAGCAGCTCCCATCAGTGTGCAGAACGAGCTGCAAGCCATGTTTGAAGCCCATTTTCATATCGAACATCTCCAAGCATCCTTATCGAACTGAAACGATTCCGCATTGCTTTGTCAATCCATTTAATCAATCTTGCAGCTATAGACGGAGGAGTGCCATGGCGACGGGCATTCCTTTCTCTCCATATAGTGTAAACAGTCAACTGGAACAGATACCGGATAATAAAACTCTTTACCCTGTTCTGTCACTCTCGAGATGATCTGAACAAGTGAATCCCAATCAGTAGTCAGCTCGTTGCAGAGAATACCCCGAGCGAGACTTTCCCAAACTTTCTTCGAGTATGAACAAGTGAAGAACAGGTGATTTCTGGTTTCGATATTCACGTGACAAAACGAGCAGGTGGCAGAGACATTTGCGTTCCAAACAACCATACGATCTCCCGTCGACAGTCTGTTTTGTACGGCAAGCCACACAATAAAACTGAACTTAGGGCTATGATGCTTGAACCAAATTTCAGCCGCCCACGGCACTCTATCCTGATGTTGTCGCAGTTGATCATACGTGGCCCTAGTGCTGAACTGAGCCTTGTAATTATCAGCTTTAACTTTCCACCAGTAAACATCTTCATCTTCTACAGTATACAGAGAGCGAGCACTCACTATCTCATCCTCTATCTGGTTTAGTATCGGTCGTCTATGCCTCCTTCGTCTATGAGTCAAGAGAACCTCCTCCACTGATGCCTCCACTTGGATACCCATTTCTAAACAACCCCGAGCACCTGCAGCTTGTAGAAGAATCCCCATCGAAGACCAATTCTCGAGCCAAAAACAAGTTGATCTGCCATTCTTCACAACCACTTTAAGAAAACTCTCAGCAAGTGTTCTGCTCTGCAAGATCTGTCGCCACATCCAGGAACCTTGGGAGTGATTCGCTGGGAGCCAAACAGAGTTTCCCCTGATGCGATTCATGTGCAGCCACCGACCCATAGGGAGCTTTTCGCTGTAATAACTCTCCACAGCAACTTCAGAACACTAACCTCATTTGGAATCCTCAAATTTTGAAGCCCAAGTCCACCCTCTGCTCTTGGTCTACAAACTTTACTCCATTCCACCTTTGCTTTCCTTGGATTCAGATCCGGACCCGACCAAAGAAAGCCTGAACATATGCTCTCGATTTTCTCTATTCAACTTTTAATTGCCATATAGCAACTGCTTTATTTGCAGGGTCTTTGTCTGTGAAGGCAACACTTACAATTGCTATTACATTAAGCATTAGAGAGTTAAATGTTTTTTCAGATTGCAAAATTCAGTTTCGTTCCGAGCTGTGCGATGATAAAAAAATGTTTAGTTTTCCAAAATTTCCTCTTGTTTCGGGTTGATAAAATTAAAATTATTTTAAAGACCAATTTGTCTAAAATGGAATTAGAGCAGATGGTCTAAAACGAATAGATTTTCTACTAGTCTTAAATTCGAAGTTGAGAATGTGAATAAGAAGCCAATTTTTTTTTTTCTTTTCAGCTTCTAGCCTTACAAAACTCATGACGAGCTCTGTTTAGAGGAAATTGGATGTTCAAAACTCGCTGGTATTGCAAGGTTCTTCCTCTTGGCTAGCAGTCTTCTCTGCCCTTATTGCAGAGTTTGCAACCATTCATGTTACATACTTACATTGAATGCAGCAAATCAAGAGAAATCTCTGAAATTGTACCCCGTTAATCATTATCTTATGGTTTCTTTTGATGAAGTGTATCTACAATTTATCATTTGCTTAACCATCTTTTGGTGCACTTTTTGGCACTTGTTATCTTGTATTTCCTTTTGCTAATGTCTTTAGATGTGAGGCTTTTTTTTTTTCTTCGTCGATGTGAGGCTCCTTAATCTTAATGAAAATCAAATCCTTTGCCTAAAAAAAATAATAGACCGTGGCAAAATGTAATGTTTCAAAAAAAAAAGATTACAAATTTACAATAATGCCTGTGCCACGTAAATCCAGAACCTTTTTACTGAATTGGGAACAAAAAAGATTCAATTTTCTTAAACGTAAGGCTTAATTTTTCTCGGTCATCACCACCTGCTGGATCTTCGACGACGAGTAAAATAAGAAGAGAGAAGAAGAAGAAGCGCGACAACACAATGGCGAAATCTAGCGCCGACGATGACGAGCTCAGGCGAGCTTGCGAGGCGGCGATCGAAGGAACCAAACAATCGATCGTTATGTCGATACGCGTCGCCAAGAGCCGCGGTGTCTGGGGAAAGTCTGGGAAATTGGGTCGCCAAATGGCCAAACCTAGGGTTCTCGCTCTTTCCGGTGATATTTCCACCTCCTTCCCCTCTTATTGATCCTTCAGATTTGATAGCATTTTCTGGAATCACGCCTTATATTGCTTTACTTTCAATTGCTCGATCTTCACGCTGCATTGAGTTTTGGTGTTCTGACGCATTAGATCGGAATTTTGGTTACTTCTACAGTTCAAATTATCTGTAATGGTCGAATTTAAGATACGCATAGGAAGGGAATCTGCTTTACTTTCAATTACTCGATCTTTAAGCTGTATAGCTCGATTAAGCATTGAGTTTTGGTGTTCTATTGCATTTGATCAGAATTTTTGGTATCCTCTACAGTCTAAATTATCTATAATAAGCATAGGAAGCGAATTTTCGGAATATAAAATCCTTAAGTTTCCACTGTTGTTAGAACAGAAAGTATTTTGGTAGTGTCTACTCTTTATATCTCAGAGATCTTATATTAAGTGTAATAATCGAGTGTACTCGGGGAGTGCCAAGAAAAGCTCTGATTCGAGTGGAAAGGATGTTGCCTCGGATCCATGTTTAAAGCTTTCTCGTCAAATGGTTCTTAAGAGAGTTGTAATCAACTGAGTATGTTCTTTTTATTCTGCTTACGACAGTCAAATCGAAGGGTCAACGGAAGAAAGCATTTCTTCGAGTTATGAAGTACTCAAGTGGAGGAGTCCTTGAGGTAATCTTCATTTTCCTTATCCAAATGAGGCACATTTTAGTGAGAAGCTAACAAGATTTGATATTTTGATTGGAAAGAATAAAGATTGATGACATTAACAATCAGATTTATGTCTACCATGGTAGCAAATTCCTCGAAGGTCATGTTAACTGATGATGTTTTAAATTCTTTGTTCATCTAGCCTGCTAAAATGTACAAACTAAAGCATCTTTCAAAGGTGGAAGTCATAACTAATGACCCAAGTGGATGCACTTTTACCCTGGTAAGATCACTCGATGATTTTAACGAAGTGGCCAATATGTAAGATTTCAAGAAGAAATGCGCTTACTGAAATTATTGTATCCTGTAGTGTAATTGTGTAAGAGATGACAAATCTGAGTGTGGAATTGTACAATACTGTTCAATATTTTTTCATGTTCCCTCTGCGTTTGCTAATGCAAAAATTTTTTAGGGGTTTGATAATCTCAGGAGTCAAAGTGTTGCTCCTCCTCAGTGGACCATGCGCAATACTGATGACAGGTACTGCAGTTAGGAAATACAAGATGTGACGGATAGATGATAACCGATGATATCTTTCGTGATGTAGTTTTGCTCATTTGGTAAATACCTTTCTCTATTGTGTGATTATAGGAACCGACTTTTAGTTTGCATATTGAACATATGCAAGGACGTATTAGGCAAGCTTCCTAAAGTCGTTGGTATAGATATCGTCGAGATGGCTCTTTGGGCGAAGGTGCGGATTATAACTACTTCTGTTTTCACATTTTGGTCTAGGTCTCATATTTCCAAAAAAAGCTTTTGTATGTGCTTGTGATTCTCATTTTCCTTCCATTCATATTCACGAGTTCTTTTCATATAATAGTGTTATCTGCTTTGTCTTTCTTTGTCTTCATATATTGGTCTAGGATAACACTCCAGTAGTCACTACTCAAAGAAGTACACAAGATGGTGAGCCTGTTGCTGAAGCTGTATCAGAAAGTGACTTGAAAGTTACTGTTGAGAAAGAATTAGTCTCTCAGGCCGAGGAAGAGGATATGGAGGCTCTCTTGGGAACGTATGTCTTATTCTGTTCCAGTCATCATTTCTGTTAAATCCTATTCGTTCAAGCATCTACTACATTTTTCTGTAAATAAGTACATATCTGAGAAAGGAGGACTTCGTTATCGACTTCACGTTATTGTTATATGGAATGAAGAGTAAAAATTACATAGGATTCCTTCAGCATGAATCTTAACCTCGTGACACTAGGTTTATGACTTACATAGAGTTGCATATATATCCACCATGCTAATTATGGAACAACTTCTTTAAATTTGTCCTATTGATTGTATTTAGTTTAAAATATTGTCATTGTTTATCTGTTCCACTTAGTTCTGTCAGATTGTTCACTCCACTAATATAACTGACATATACAGTTATGTAATGGGCATTGGTGAAGCTGAGGCATTTTCTGAAAGGCTGAAGCGAGAGCTCCAAGCTCTTGAAGCGGCAAATGTACATGCAATTCTGGAAAGCGAACCATTAGTAGATGAGGTAATTCTTTTTTGCGAATTATTATTCTTAGGACTATCTTGGTATCTGGGCAGTTTATGAATATCAGCGTTTAATTTTCTTGCTTATGTGGCCATTTTCATATCTTTCAGGTTTTGAATGGACTAGAGGCAGCAACAAATATTGTTGATGACATGGATGAATGGTTAGGAATATTCAACGTGAAACTTAGGCACATGAGGGAAGACATTGAATCGGTAGGACGCACCACACCACCAATTAAAGATCATTCCTGGTCATTTTTTTTAATATGAGTATAGTGCCACCGCATTAAGAAATTAGCTGTAGTATGTTATCAATAAACTGTCATATTACTTCTGAAATCTGCGAAAGTAAGAGAGAAAGAAAATTGATTCCAAGTATTTGTGGTGTTGGACTGACCGTTAGCTTTGTCAGCACATATTCTCACTTTTTTTTTGTGTGGTATCCAGATAGAAACTCGAAACAACAAGTTAGAGATGCAGTCTGTAAACAATAAAGCTCTCATCGAGGAACTTGATAAAGTTATTGAGAGACTGCGTGTGCCTTCTGAGGTTTGTTTCACTTTATTTTCACCAGAAGAACATTCTTTTGTGCTTGCCTCTCATCTGTCTACTTGGTTCACTTATAGAGGTGTGATTGATTGCAGTATGCAGCATCCCTAACAGGAGGCTCATTTGATGAAGCAGACATGCTCCAAAATATCGAGGCTTGCGAGTGGTTAGCCAAAGCTTTAAGGGGTCTTGAAGTGCCCAACTTAGACCCGATCTATGCTAATATGCGAGCTGTATGTATGCACTTAGATATTTCTTATTTGCTCTATATTATTCTCGTTTTTATATTAGCTTTGTTTATTACGTTGTCTAGTGGCTAGAATAGAAAGAATTGTCTAAATCATTCATAATAATGTCTAGTTTATGTACACCTACCTGAATATCGGCTACTCTTGTTGTATTCTCTTCAGGTAAAAGAGAAACGAGCAGAGCTAGAAAAATTAAAAGCTACTTTTGTTAGGAGAGCTTCCGAGTTCTTGAGAAACTACTTTGCTAGTTTGGTAGATTTCATGATCAGCGACAAAAGTTACTTTTCTCAGGTATTAGTTTTGTGAAATTTATCCTTCTCGATATGAACTCTTGTGATTATAATTCTGAAGACTTATCGACACATCTTATAAACAGAGAGGTCAGCTGAAAAGGCCTGACCATGCAGATTTGCGGTATAAATGCAGAACATATGCACGACTTTTGCAACATTTAAAGGTAGAACCGAGGAATGACTAGGTGACATTATAACAGCTTAATGCAGTACATTGCTTACTTTGTCTCCTTTCTTTTTGAAGGGTCTTGATAAGAACTGTTTGGGGCCATTAAGAAAAGCATACTGCAGCTCCCTGAACTTGCTCCTTCGCCGGGAGGTGAGGACAGATATTCCTTTCTTTATCAACTTGACCACTGATTTATTGGAACTCTGAATTCACCAAGGC